TCCTTAGTTTTCAAGAAGTAGCATGCTGATGTTAGGCTTCCTGGAGAACCAGTGATTTTCAGTATTGCTCTTTTGCTTTGCCAGCCTCCATTTCCCAAAACAAAGGATAATGTTCCTCTGTGTCTCTTAATAATGTTTATTTTTCTTATCAATAATCTGAAGCTTTTTGACGACTCTTTATGATGATCTAAATCTTTAGGCTTTGTTTTTTTGCAACTTAATCACCAATGTGAAGAATAGTTCCTTTTACACTCAAATGCATTAGAGGCACAGTCTCAGTATTTCTTACATGCTTTAAACAATTCTTTTTAACTTGAATGGATTGTCTTTTAATGGTGTTTTTCACACCTTCATCTCCTCTGAGGTAAATGCCTGCATTTAAAACGTATTCCTAAACTGACATTTGTAGCAGTGTAATAGTTTGCTTACAGTTGTTCTTTTCCCTCCCTTCCTCCTTTTTCTCCTTTTTTTTTTTTCTTTTTTTCCCCACTATCACATGTATGGCACTAGGTGCCAGCTCACTGAAAAACAGAGCAATGTGTTCTACAAACAGCAGTGTTTCAAATAATTTATTAAGTGTGTGGTTTTGCAGAACTGGCATTCATTTCTGGAAGGACCTAACAGTAGCAGCAGAGCTGTGTTTAACTGTTTCAGGAGCTGGGTGAAGTTTTTTAGTATTTTATATTTTCAGAGAAGGAAAAAAAAAGCTACTCTTGGAGCTGTAACAGTCCTTTGATTCAGGTAGAAACAAAGAAATACTTATTTTTCTGTAGAAAAAGGCAGGTTGCTTTCTCAGCTGACAGGTTCTGCATGGGAGATGCTATTGCCGTGCCTTCTGGTCCGCTCATGGAGGAGCTCTCTGGAGGTGAGCGTCAGACCTCATCCCGCTTCAATAAACCCAGTGTGTGGGAGTGAAACCTGGCTCCCTCATAGCCAGTGGCAAAGTTCCCAATGATTTCAGTATGGCCTGGATTTCTTGTTTCAGTAGTGCTGTGGCTCATCCCCCACCCCATTCTCCTGTACCAGGGTCTGTCTTATACTTGTGTAGTCTTCTGTGCAAGTTTGGTTTTTGAATGAGTTGGCACAAGTTACTTGGCATAGATGTGTTGAGATGCAAATAAATGCTGAGAGGTGTTTCTGAAAAACACACTCATATCTAAGAGTCTTTGACAGAGGCAAATGAGAGAACTCACCCTGTGCCAGTCAAACCAGAATATTGCTTCTAAGCACAAAAGGAGTGCCATGAGGTCTCAAGGTTTTGTTGTCAGACTTTGGTTAGCACTGGGGTATCTGGTCCAGATGTGCATGCTTTACTTTAAAACTTACAAGATTTTAAGTTACAGGCCTCTCTTACTTGCCATAAATTGTCATATAAAACACATATGTAGCATCTGCTTATTCCCTCACCTGCTCTTGGTGCTGATTTGCTGTAAAGCCACAACTGCAAAGCTGGATATGGCTGTAATGGAGAGGTAATTCAGTAAGAAGTAGTATTTTATTGTTAAATCAACTGCAAGTGAAAAAGATTTTTCTTTGCATCATGGTGTATTTTTTGTAAAGTGCGTGTGTAGTTTTAGTGCTGGGTTTACAAAGGAAGGTGATTTAAGATCTTTTTAGGAACCCCACAAATGAAAGACAACAGATAGGGGAAATGTGTATCGCTGACAATGACAGCATAATTTGCACACCATGTCATTAGTGCCAAAGGTGAGTGATTCCTTATGTTTTTGTTGGCTTTAAAAGGCTTTGGATTGGAATGCAGCTTTGCGTACCACCTCACTGCAGTGGAAAAAGTGATATGGTTCAAATAAATGCCCCCCAAAATAATTTGCAAAAACAACGTATTTGTATTTTTCTGCACTACTTTTGTGCTGTTAATGAGCGTTTTTTGTTATAATAATCAATGTGGTGCAGGGTTCTGTTAGGTATTATAGAGATTGAGCTCTCATTTTTTTGTGTTTTGCTGGTCTAAAACTTGAGCAGTGGTTGGGATGATGGTGTGTGTTCTTCCTGCAGCAGCAGAGGATTGATGTAGCAGTTGAATTCCTGGAGAGAGACATTTCTACTTGATAAAGATACTCTTCAACTCCTGTTACCACCCAGTCTGTTGTGAACCAGGAGTAAACGTGATACTAGGTATTAAGGGTCAGGCTTCCTGGGTTTTGTTTTTCCTGCAGGAATGACAAGAGTCACCTGCAGAAAGGGCTGAATGCCAGCTGGAATAATCCTCACAAAATGAGAATGCTTCTCATGAAAATCAATCTGTTCTCAATACGAATTAGCATGCTTTATGCTCAGCTGTAATGCTGCCATAAGATTCCTTGAAGGAGTTTTATAAATCTCCTAAAGCCACCTTTCAACATTCGTTTCTTTACATAATTAATTTATTCTAGTGCATGTAAGCATCTGTTATAAGCTTATAGTGGAATCTTATCAAATGAACAATGTTGCTAAAGCTTCAGAGCTACCAAAAAAAAACCCCACCCCAAAAAATCCAAACCGGGATTCTGAAACCTTGGTTCACTCTTGTCAGATAAACTGAGCGCTGTGCCTGGATGCATCCTCACGCTGTTTCACCATATGCCTTAGCCTTGTCATTGCTCCCTCTTGTAGGGAAGAAGCTCTGCCCTCGTCAAAGGTTTTGCTTTGTGTTGAGATGTTGCTGAACTAGTTAAAAGGGGAGAGGGGGTCTTGTGTGTGCATGGTTTCTACCAAAAAGGTCCTTAATGCTGCATTAAGATTAAAGAGTAGACATCAGATGCTTACTGTGTTTGGTTGCTAGAGTGCCTGGAGAAGGTGAAGGTAGCTGTAGCTCCTCCTAGAGTGATATGTGTGTGACATGAGATATAATGACACAATTTCCTTTTTCCTCCCTATCCCACCATCATAAAATGGATTTGAACCATTGACCCTGGAGACTTCTGAGTGTGTCAGAAGAGGACTTGTGTGATTCCTATTATCCTTCTGATTTCTGAATCCACTGAATGGACGTTTGAATTCACTCATTTTTATTTGAAGATTCATTCTGAACAGGAGTGCAAAGCATGGTGCATTTTGAGTAATCAGTTGTATGCTGGCATCCAGGACCTGTCGTTTATCTGAACTGCCTCCCTCTTGGCATGTGTTGTAATCAAACACAAACTTGCCTTCCTAATGAGCTAATTTCTCCTTTTCCAGTAAAACATCATAAATGTAGATGTGTTTAACAGGAAACTAGGCCTTCGCCACTCTGGTTTGTTCTGGCTGGTATTTGGGAGCAGGTTGGGGAAGCAAGTGGTGGGAGGAGATCAAGCACTATTCAGGAAACAGTAGCTTATTCTCAGCGTAAGCTGACAGGGAGCCAAATTGCATAATGCCCTTTTTCTGATGACCACTGCGTTGTGACTCTTGATTTGGGAGGTGGGGAAGGTCTTGCTGGCTTCCATGTTCCTGGAGAGTTTCTCTTCTAGGTGTTCATGGATAACTGAGACCTAGATGGCAAGTGGTGTACACTTGGGGCTTTCTGTAGACGGTGGAAGAAACGCATTCACAAAATATTCTGGGCTGGCACAGAGTTTGTGTACATTACTATTTTGTCAGAGGGATGCAATTATCTGGTAATGGTAAAGCTTTTCCTATAGCCCAGAAAGGGAAGAGGTTTTTTTATTTCTCCTTCTCTAGCTCCATAGTAGGTAAGTTGCTCTATAAATAGAGCCTAAGGTTTACTTAAATGTATAGAATAGTTTTTAATAAATGTGTTAATAGGAAAAGCTGACCAATAAGTGCTACCGGTTATATAACACAAAAAACCAACACATTTCTGAGTGTTACTTCTGATGTTCCCACTCAAATGTAGACTCATCCTGTGAAGGCATTTTCTTGATACTCTTTCCTATGGATGTTAATAGGGCAGTACATTCTAGTTAATTTACTATTTCCATGTTCCTTAGGCTTAAGGGAGTAATCAGAAATGTATCTTCCTGTACAGTATGCTTAATGAGAGTAAAGTATCCTGTGTTGTATTTAATATATATAGCATCTATGTAAACTTTCCTTGGTCAAAATTAAAAGCAAGCAATGAATAAAATCAAAGGTTAGTTTCTTCAGCTACATGCATAAGCTGAAGCTGCCAAGCTGCTTTTACTCATCTTCTTTGTGTCTAGCTTTTTTTTTTTAGGTAGTTGTTCTTCAATAGGTTGCTGCGTTTAACAACCTCTTCTCATGATAAAGCATGTCAGTCCTAATATTGTTTTGAGGAGAAGAGAGAGCAAGAAGCAAGAGAAAGGGCATTTTATGGCTTTAAGTGACGTGCCTTCCATGTGGTGATTACAAACTGGGACAGCAAAAAAAAGTCTTGGATTGAGAAAGAAAATGTGATTACATCATGGGTTATGTGATTGAGCACATCATTGAAGATAATGGCTTGACTTTGACTTGGTTGTCTTAAATATGAGCATTTATTTTTCTTTAGCTATTTCCTGCTCCATAGTGGCACAAAAGATGTGCAGGGATCTTGTGATGAGAGCAGCCACTTACTACACAGGTCTTGTAGGTTCACTGTGCAGCGTTCTTCCATAATGTGGTCTTGGTATCAGGACTCTGAATGGAGTCTCAGCCCATGGAGCAGCAGCGGAGGGTTGTCTTCTGTTTGCTTTTACTCACCTCAGAGCAGCTTTGCTTACTGTATTAAGAGCCTGAGATAAGAGGCAGCATAGGATTGCATACTGTCACAGCATCCATAGCTGCTCTTGTGACTTCAAAGCATCCCCAGGTAATTTTTGTTTAATGTAGATACTAGTAACTTACTCTAATATGTGATCAGAATGCATTAGATGGGACACGCTTAAGAAGAACCACCTTGATACTGCTGATGGCTGCATGTAGCATTTATTCCCTAGCTATTTTTTCTTTGGTTGGGTTTTTTTTTTCCCAACAAGAAAGTGAAGCAGCTGGCTTGCATTCTTGGATTCTTTAGTTTTCTGACTGAGTCCTTTTCTCCTGTCTTTTGTTTTCAGGTCAATGCTCAGTTCTCAAAACGGATCCAGACAAAAATCAAGGACCTTTTGCAACAAATGGAGGAGGGGCTGAAGACAGCAGATCCACATGACTGCTCTGCCTATACTGGCTGGACTGGTGAGAAGGCTAGAATTTGAATGAAATGTGTTTGTTAAATGGCATAATTGGGTTTATTCACAGGAGGAGGTTCGGATATTCTCACAGGAGCAGAATAAATAGCCTAATACAGGTGTTTGTGTGAGTTGGTTTCTTTTAGCTCTGAGACATTGGTCACTACTGTCTGAAATGACTTGCATTTATTTCAGTGGACAAAGGATCTAGTTGCAGATAGGTAGTTGGCTTTTGTATATGGAGATCTCTGTCTTGCTAAAGGAGTGGATTTTCTAAGGCTACTCCTTCATTTGGCATACCTCTAGTTTCTTTAATATTTTCTTAAAATGGGTTATTTTGATCTTTTACTGTTCAACTGACTGATAGTTAGCAGTTGTCTGATGGTAACAGCATCTTCTGATTGTTGAGAGGGAGTGTTCTGTGCCCAGGAGCTTGGAGCCTTAAAATCTGGAATATGGATAATTTGGCTCTACTCGTTCTGTCTGTACAAAAATAGTTAGATGAACGTGTGAGGAGGGGGACTATGGAGGTAGGGCTGCAGGATTGTGAAGTGCATGAAGAGAAACAGGCATGTGCAAGCGCTGTCATTCATTTAGCCTTGCATCACTGATACTATCCAAATGTGAATGAGCCCTTCTTATCCTTTAGGTAGTGCCTGCAGTTACCAAGCATGATGTGGCCACTGCTCTTCACGCTGCCAAAACACTTTCCTGACGTGGCCTCTTAAGTGCCACTTTGCTATTGCAGTGGTATACTCTATTCCTGGTCTATCTAGCTCATGCTTCAGATGTTCTTATGCTTTTAGCCCAGCATGTTTGAAACGTGCCCTGAGGAGGATCTGTTATCTCTGTGTGGTGAGGGGGGCAGATTGAAAAAACTCTCCAGGCTTTGCCGTGCTCAGGCTTAATTCTGGCAGTGAAAGGGTAAAATTTCTTTGCTTTTTACCTTAATGTTTCGATACAGATGGTACTGTGGGTGGATGGTTGGAGAAGTTTTAGACAACTCAGACTTAAATGGTAGTTGTGTTTCAAGGTCTGAAAGCGAGTGGCTGCGGAGCGAGTGCTGAAGATCTCAAGTGGTGGGCATTCTCGCGCTGACGTTATGAAATGGGCTCCTAGGGAGCTGTGTTCTGACACTGTGACAAGCAGCTGAAGTTACAGCTGATAAACCAGAGCATGCTGAAAATGAGTCATGAGCTAAAAGTAACACAGCCATCATTAGCTGAAACAAGAAGATGGATGAACAAGTAATGTGGTATAATGAGTATCGGGATTTTCCATCCTGCTTTCCTAGAGCACTGCTACATCTACTCCCAAGTTGTAAACTTCTTTCCACAGGAATCTTGTGGAATTGACTCCTGAATAAAAATACTTAAATGATCTGGCCTTTAAAAACTTTTTTAAAGTACTTTCTTCCCAAACTTGCACCTGGCAGCTTTTTGCTAGTGTGTAATTCAGAAGATAAAAGCAATGCTGAAAACAACTGCCCTGCCTTTCACGTACCAAGTTTAGACAAATCTTATTGGCAATGCACAGTCCTGAGCAGTGGCTTGAGCTTTGTGAAACATCTTTAAAGTCGCATACTGGTGGCATAGGACTCATGTTAGAGCCCATCTTGCTTAAACAAGTACCATTTGTATGTGCCAGACATCTTGGAGGAGCCACTTTAAAGGTGTTTCACATGGAAGGACTGGATGAACCAGGCCTCATGGATACTTTCTGATCATCCCTTGATCAAGCCCAGGTATCTATACATGTGTTGCAATACAAAAAAAGGGTTACAGAAATCCCAGTAGTCATCACCCACAAGTTTCTGTTTCACTGAATTGGGCTAATGAAGCACTGCAGGTACCTGCTTGGGATTCCTCTAGAAAGCCTTATCAAAGCCAGTCCAGAGAACATCTGAGGATGTACCAGCACACTTGTGGTGCTACTCTCCTTGTACTCCTCACATAGCCTCTCTGAGAAGCTAAGTGGGCCTTATGTGTATTCTGCTCTAGTTGTGGCTCAGGAGAGTGCTTTCCCTGTTCAGAAATGAGTTTGAGATGCAGTAGGGTCTGAAGGAAATTGTTTTGCTTCTGCACATACATGCCTGCAATTGGCAAATAGATGTCCAATTAGATGAGTTTCTTTCATGTTCTTCAGTCTACATTGTTGCAGTTTTTAAGGTTTGGGTTTGTCTTGTTTTAATAGAAAATTATGTAATGAGTTTAATAGAGTGAAGCGTGGTGTTCTCTGAGAACTTGTTTGCTTCCTGGCAAACAAGCTTAACTTGTAGAAGCTCATAATCTTGCTGTGAAATACATTTAAGCGTTATAAAGAACTTGGCAAGTTGAATCAAAAAACTCGTCAAAAGATCCTTTTACTAATCAAATGGAAACTAAGTCACTTCTTACATATAATAAATGAGTATTGTACAGTCAGTGTACTTGGTTGTACATATGCTTGTTAGCCCGTATTTCTGAGTCTTCAGTGATTTCTTCATCAACCATTGGTGCCTGTGTCATGAATTTTTTCCATTCTCTGCAAATTATGAGTCTACTGCTGGGCTTCAGTCTGATTTTTTTTCTTTTTTTTTCTTTTTTTTTTTTTTGTCACCGTTCAAATTGAAATGTAATCAAAATAGATGTCCTGATGCCTTCTCCTTGACTGGCATGTTTTAATTGCCCAAATACCTGTTTGCATTTGAGTTACTGGTTCAGAGGCACTAAAGAGGGGAATATGAAATACACAGAAGGAAAAGTAAATAAAACTATTTCTTTTTCATGCGGTTGTTCCAGGTATTGCCCTCTTATATTTGCAACTGTACCGTGTCACGAAAAACCAGAGCCATTTGCAGAGATCTCTTGATTATGTGAAGAGAACCCTTCGCAATCTGAATGGCAGAAGAGTTACTTTCCTCTGTGGTGATGCTGGGCCGCTGGCAGTGGGTGCAGTGGTTTATCACAAGCTGAAAAACGACAGTGAATCTAAAGAATGTGTTGCCAGGTAAGTGGCTGATGGTGGAAAAAGCCATGCCCTTCATTTGTAGAGAGCACAAGTTCAGTAACATTAGCAAGTGGAGTTTTGAAGGACAGGATTTAAAAATTGAGACATTTTCTCCCCAGTAAATTTTAAGTAGAAGAATACAAAATAGTCTTTATCTTTGTTACAGCTGGCTTACACTTGATTCACATTTAGCTGGTTCTCTTGAGTCTTCTATTGCTGTAAAGACTGGATGTCCTGGACATATCTGTAGTGCACGCACGTTTTGGTTTTGTCACATTGAAGTGACATTAACAGAAGCCACACACTTGTCATCAGCAATATGTAGTGCTTGTGCAGTACGTGATGCTTCCTGTAAAGCGTGGGTCTTATTGTAGATTCATTACAAAATATGTACACTGCAGGGATCTGGAAACATCCAGACAGAAACATGGTACGTTGGATTGATCTGTACCAAAGATTTAATAAAGGAGGAGATATTTGCTGAATTGTCAAAGGTGAAGGCTTTAATTAGGTCAGAGCGTATGAAGGGTAGCCTGAAAAAATTCCAACCTCTTTTCAAAGAAATATAAATGTAAAAAATGTCTTGAGAAATCCCGTTTAGATTAGAGCTTATATGGAGAACTGACTGTCTCTTTGCTGGTATGGAGCTGACTGCTGTCCCAGCGAGGGCTGGAAGCACTGGAGCCCTGTGGGGTTTGCATTTGGCACCAGCAATCCACCAGCAGCCCTTACACTGCCAGGATCTGCGGACCAGCCTTGTGTCCTCATCTCCATTCTGGTTTAGATTTGAAAATATAATTGGCCTCTTTCTAATCTAGAATCCTAGTGTGATTAATTTCTGCTGCTGCTCCTGAATTAGTATTTCAGTTCTGAAATGGGTGGTTGGTTTGTGGGGGGCTTTTTTGCTTTTAGAACTGGCAGTAAACTTGGGCATGTTATTTTGGATGCAGCTATGAAAGCGATGTTGCTGTAAGGCATGAAGCATGAGTATAGCAAAATGAGATAAGCAATAAATCCTTTAGTTTTGTCTCTGCTCAGAAAGCAATTTCAGGAGGAGGACTGAAAAGGAGGTTAGTTTGATTATTTGTTCCTTTTCTTCCTTTTTTGTTTACAAATATTCATGACACCCACTGAGTGGTACATTATAGATAACAAAATGTAATCTATGATTGCACTTTTAATTTTTTACCTTGTAGCTGTCCAGTTGCATGATTTGAGCAATAAAACTTAACAGGGAACAGTTTAACAGAAAATAATTTAATTCCAATTCCAACAAGTAGTTCCAAGAAAGAAATTATAATATAAAACAAGCCATTGGGGTCAGTGTTTTTGCTCCAATATGATGTTAGTGCTAACATTTCTGCTGAGTAATAGCTGTTGGAGGGATCTAGGAATTGAATTTAGTCTTAATCCACATTGTCTTGCTTCCCTCCCTTAATTTAAAACGTGATAATCTCTATGGTTTCATCTAATTGCCAATTGAATCACAAAAGATAGGAAGAGACATGGAGTGGGCAGGAAAGCAGACCTCTGCTCCACCTTAATTCTGGTGCAGACTGGTGAAGTAATAGAGCAGGGAGTCTCTTTGGAGCAAATGAGGGTTGCGATGGCCAGCCCAAGTTTTTTTTCCGTTGCTAAAGCAAGCAAAACACTTGTGCATAATAGCAGTGGTGAGGCTTCGGCACTCGTTGGGCTTCTAGTTTGGTTGATGGCTTGTACATCCAGTCCAGTATGGTCTCTAGAGAAGATGTTCTCTCTCCCTACCTTCCTTGTCTGATGCAGGTTGTTGCAGCTCCAAAGGACAGTCGTAAACACAGATGCTGAGCTTCCAGATGAGCTGCTTTATGGCAGAGCAGGTTACCTCTATGCCTTGCTGTATCTGAATAGTGAAATCGGTCCAGACACTGTCCCACAGTCTGTTATCAAAGAGGTAGGATACTTTTTCTCTGCAATGCCACAGCATCCGTGAGGTTGAACTGGAATTGCTCCTTCACATAATTCAAGGGATTAAGAGAGAGAGGCTGGGGAGGAGAGGGACCTAGAACTGGGAACTCAATCTCATCTGTCTCTTCCAAACTTCCCCCTTTCCCTGCTGCCCAGCTGGGGCTGAAACAGTCCCACCCAGCCAGCGTGGTGGGTCTATGGCCAACCACGGAAATGGATCTGGTATGTAACTAACTAGTTTTGGAGCATCTGAGGATGAGAAATTGCTATGAAAAACTGTAAGAAAGAAGTGTGCAAGTGTTTTAAGTGAAAAGAAGGAGAATTCTGTGTGGGAGAGATGCACTGTTGTTCTGCAGATATCAGAACCAGAGAAGACAAGCCTGGAAAAAAGTTATTAGAAACATGTATATGTTAAATTTCTACTCTTGGAAATATAGATGATTCCATCATGTAGGAAAAATTCCATCTCTACCTTAGCACTCAAGTCCAACTGAATTTTATATTGTTGCCCTATCACTGTTTATTGAGGCTTATTCTTTAGTGTTGTTTTAGTCATGACAAAGCAAAACCCTCTGACTCAAAGTGAGATAGTGTGGTGTCTTTCTTAGGTAATAGATGCTATTATTGAATCGGGGAAGAACTTTTCGAAGGAGGAGCGGAAAACAGACCGCTGTCCTCTGTTGTACCAGTGGCACAGGAAGCAGTATGTTGGGGCAGCCCATGGAGTGGCTGGCATCTACTACATGCTCATGCAGGTAAGAGTATCTTACTTAACACCGGTGATTTCATGTTTGCACCAGGAGATCTGATGTTCAGCTTTTCATGCATGCACAGTGTTGTGCTGGGTCAGGGTCTCACAGTTTGGAGTAAGACTCTGCAGTGCAGAACTGTGCAGAGATGCCAGCTCAGGCCTTGGTAGCAGAAGAAAGCTGTGACTTGGTTGTCCTTGCATTGAAGTAAATTAACCCTTGAGTTGTGGTTCAGAGCACCACATTCCAGGAGCTGAAGTTTCCTATCCTCAACAGAGACAGTGAGGTGCCTTCCCTCGTCCTCATCCTCCTTCTGGTGCCTGCAGTTAGACCAGCTAAATACTTACTTGCTCACCATCCATCACTCTGAATCATTATTTTTTTGCTATTTTTAAATGAGTGTGTTGCTGGTGCCTCCTACACTCTGTGACCTTCCTCTCTTCTCCAGGGACTTTTTTTTTTTTCACTGTCTTGAAGATTTTGTGAAATTGTCCTTAATCACGCATTAGTCTTCATTATGCTTTTATTCTTTAGATGTTCTTCCTGTTCCTTATCCCCCCTATCTCCACCAAAAATCTGATGTTCCTTAGTGCATTTATGATCCCTTCTCTCCTCTTTCTGTTGTCCTGAGTGAGATTCCTCTCTTCTGCATACCTGCTCTTTCCCACACTTAAGTCCATTCCCCTCTTCCTTGAGATTCTCAAATAGGGTTATCATGTTTTTCAAAACAGACCTGTATATCTTACTTCTGTTGTACAATCTGGAAAAAGAGCCTTAAGATTAATTATAGAAGATGGCCATCGAGCTGCAAAATTTGTATTGTACCTGTTTCTGGGTTTTAAAGGTGCTGCCAGTCTGTGCATCTTTATAAGTGTTAATTTTCTTACCAACTTGTGCAGAATGACTTTTCTCCAGGCAGGTAGAAGGTTGTACTTCCTCGCAGCCTAAAGCTGTGTGCAGATGTTCACTGCAGAAGTGCTTCAGCTGGTGTTTGGTGTGGCCACTGCTCAGCTGTTCCTTGTTTGCAAAAGATACTGTGACTTACCCCCACCTGATTCGGATTAGGTAACACCGTTTCCACCACTAGCTCAGGCTAAAGCACCTGACCTTGCTGTGGAGGTGGCTACTGCTCTACTACCTGGAGGTACATCTTAACCTTGCTGTAGCAGTTTTCTGCAATGACCACCTCACTGGGGCCTTAGACTGCTCTAATTTACTGTGTCCTTATCTTCACACTCTGCTTTCTTCAACAAGGTGGTCCACCCCCTTCCAGCAACCTCATCTCACTGGCTTGCATTTTTGCTTGACTGGCTCTGCTAGATTTTCTGAGAAACATCTGGTCCCTTAAAGAAGCCTCTTTAAAGGCTCCATCCTTCATTTACTATTCAAGGCTGATAGCAAAAATAATTGTACCTTCTTGGTTTAAGCAGCAGCTTCTCTCTCTACATGTTAGAATTATAACTATCTTTTCCTTTACATATAATTGCTGCTTTTAAGAATTACCACAAAGCTATTGTTTATGCAGCATTAGATTACTTTCTTTTCTCTGTACATTAAATATTGTGAGTCATGCAGAGTTGAGTCATCCACTGCAGAAGAAGATGGCATATCGAAGTCCATCCTTTCCCCCATCCCTCCCACACCAAATGAGGAGAAATTTTCTATATTTTCAGCAAAGACTTCAGTTTGTTGAGTGATTGTTTCATAACAAAGAAGGTTGTCCAACATAACACCTGAGATGTGAAGGTTCATCATTTCTGTACACCACCTTTATAAGGAAGCATGCATTGCTGGATTTACTTACAGAAGACTGTTGGAAGAATAAGAATAAGAACTCAACAGCGTTAAATAATTCAAGGAGGTAGAGGGGTAATTCTGAAGTGCTAGCTAGGGAATCTAATCTTGGCTCCTTTCCCTAAGCCTGAGGCAAAAAATGCCTTTTAGCATATCATTGCTCTTGGTCAGAAAGTCAAGGCACGTTATTTTTGTTGCTGTTGGCAGTAGTTGCTGGGAACCTCAAGAGCTTGGGCAAAGAACTCACTTGTGGTCAGATCTTCTGAAATTGGAAGTGCTGACTTACATTCCATAGCTTCAGGGAGTTTTGTTTGTGATGGAAAACTTTAACCTATGTAAGCCTTTGCCAGGTATGTCACTACATACACTCTTCTTCATTTCTTGGGAAATACAACAGGTTTGTCTGTGTTAGTTATTTTTAAAACAAAGTGTGTAACCCATTGTGTTATAAGTGTGTTGTTATGAGCAATTAATCTATAAATCCATCTTTCTCCTGTAAGTGTTCTATTTTAAGATATAAAGGCAGGCCTGGGAATCTTGAAATCTGAATTTGGTTCTCAGTTCTTCCAGAGTCTCCAGTAAGACAGGTAACAACTTGGTGCCCCAATTTCTTTGTCTCTACAGTAGCTGTAAAAACACTCTTCACAAGGATATTGTAAGCAGACATTAATTAAATCTGTATGAAGTTATTCAAAGTATTTGGATCAAGGGCATATATGTAGGATACTTGAAAATAGATAATAAAATTAACTGTTGCTACAAAGTTTGTTACTACTTCTGTTTATGTTTTTAATGGTGGCCTTTTTTTAATGTTTGTTACTACTTCTGTTTATGGTTTTAATGGTGGACTTTTTTTTTTTAAATGTTTTCTTTAGCCAATTGCAAATGTAGACCAGGAGACCCTGACAGAGCTGGTGAAGCCAAGCATTGACTATGTGCGTCATAAAAAATTCAGATCTGGGAATTACCCGTCATCACTGAGCAATGAGACTGACAGACTGGTTCACTGGTGCCATGGTGCCCCTGGAGTCATCCACGTGCTCATGCAAGCTTATAAGGTGAATCATTCTGTGTTTATATACACCTTTATTTTTACAGAGACCTGTATGCAGGCCTGTTAGATTGTAAGGCTCACATTTTACGTCTTTCTAGATCTAGGCTTTCAAACCAGAACCCTGGGCTAAGCACCTAAAAATCTCAATATACTTACATAGGTATATTTGTAAAGAGGAAATAAGTGGGCAAAATTTCTTCTCAGGATGCTAGTAGTTACTAGACTTCGGGCTTTCTTGGAAAAGGGCTGTGTATTTATAATCAATTTGATATCAGAGTCCTGGGTGTGAGAACATTGACCTGAACTCTCTGAGTCTTCATCCCAAGAGTTTAAAGAATTCTGTTGGTTTTCAGAAGTGTAGGCTCATGAGTCTTGCCAAAGAATGTCTTCCATAAATGACTCCATTATTAAGGCATAGCTTTTGAGAACTTAACATTGGAGCAAAGATCCTAAGCCCCTTCTAGGGCATAAATTTAACCACGGAGCTCCCACCAGATTACTGTTTGCTCTTCTCTGTCCTTAACTAGGTTTGCTATCTCTGGTGTGTTGTGCACTTCTGATTTGCGTGACATTTAAAAGTATGCCGTTTAATTACATTTATGCAAGTTGGTTCTCGCTTTTGGCAGTCCTCCTTGCCAGATTTCCTGACCAGCCTCTGAGTGGGCTGATGAAAAGCAGGCTTGGTTTATGGAATGCTCATGCTGCTACCTGAGATGTGAACTGTGCATCTCTTGCAGCACTGCTGGATGTAGCAGCAGCCACAGTTGCTTTTTCTTTGGACTGTGGCAGGAGGTTGGCTTAACACTGCAGACTTCCCCTCTCCCCCCCTTCTTTGGCAATGCGATGCTTTCCCCAGCACACAGCGTTTTGTAGGAGATAAGAGGGATAGGACTGAATTCTGTTTAGCAGTCTCATTTCTGGCCCCTATTTATGCTTAAGATGATGGGGCATATGATGCTTTTCTTTTACTTTTTATAATCTGCTTTTTGAAGAAATGATAAGAAAAACTGAACTGTTTTTTGCTGGCTGTGCTTTCATACAAAGCTCTGGGACTTGCAGTAGCAGAAAGTAGTGTCTGTCCTGGAAATCAAATGAAAAGTTCATTTGAAAAGTTACAGCTAAGTAGCTGACAAACCCTGTTTGGAGAGAGGGGCTTTCTTTATCAAGCTTGTGGCTTTAAGAATCTTGCATGTTAATTGCTTCTCTTACCTTGTTAAGTAGCATCCTTGCAGAGGGTGCCGTCTCTATAAAGTCTACAGTTGTGCATCAGTTCTTCTTTGTCTTGTTGACCTGTAAAGTGACTTAGGCAAAGGGGAGCAAAGAAGTAGTCTTACAAAGATGGAAGTCTGGTGGTGTTTAGCTAAACTACTTGGTTTTGTTTTCTGCTCTCTGTGTTCAAAATGCACTTCAGTTGCAAAAATCTTTGCAAAATTGATCCTTTGCCCAAACTGACTAGTGCTTCTGAATATCTGCAATACAAATACTAATCAAGGTAAACAAAGTACACTTGTACCTGGGTCAGATAAAAGAGCCCTGTGCAGAGAGACATTCTTGTGCATTTTCAACATGGAATTGAAAGCAGATGGTGAGTAACCAGCAAGAATTACTCTGAAAAAGACAGGACCTAGCCCTTTAGGTCCAGATGTGATTGCCAGTATCCTGTGTTACATTTCTTGGATGCAAGAATTACGTTTCTGTATTTCAAATCAAATAATACAGTGGTTTGGGAGTAAAGGGGAGAAGCAAAAAAAGACCAAGTACCCTTCAAGTAGATTACAGAGACTTCTCAGGTCCAGCTTTCTTTTGTTTTCATTAGTACTTTAGTTTATGTGTGTTTATTCTCCGATTTCATTCCACAGACCTTTAAAGAGGATAAATACTTGAAAGATGCTATGGATTGTAGCGATGTCATCTGGCAGAGAGGTTTATTGAGAAAAGGATACGGGATCTGCCATGGTACTGCTGGCAATGGCTATTCCTTCTTGTCTCTCTATAACCTAACTCAGGACAAAAAGTACCTCTACCGAGCTTGCAAGGTGAGCTCTACAGCATCCCAATAAAATCACTGTTCCCTTTCATGTCGCAATACCCATGCAATATCAAACTGACAGGAGTAGGCTGTTGTGTGCTGGATCTGGAACTGGCTGGCTGTGCGGCTGGGTGGGACAACAGTGTCCCATCACTTGCTCCCCTTCAGTCATGCTTTGGCTGGACAACTTGAGCTGTGTACATGGGGCACGCGCTGACTTCATACGCACAAGTGTTCTGCAAGGGGGGAGGAACTAAACACGTATTCAGAAGAAAATAGAGTCTGTGAATCAGTCTGCCTGAGCAATAACAGACTAGTGTTATGTGATGCTAATTATTCCATTGAGACATCCACTGCCATCCTCAGCTCTTCAAGCGATACTCTTTGTAGTCCTGTAATTATTTGTTTTCAGACTAGTGTCTGTTTGAGGCTTTTAGAGCTCTGAAATGCAGTTATTAAATTGCTCACTTAGATTTTTTTTCATTAATACGAATTGCAGAGAAAGACAGACTTAGAATTTTTCCATTGTAGTTGTTGAGGTTCTGCTGTCAGCTTTGGCTCTGCTAGCGGTTACCAAAGGAGAAGGCTTTCTCAGCATCTCCTTCTTCATCTCACAAGACTTTGCTTTTGTTTTGGTTTGAGATTTTTTTCAGCTTAATTCACTGCTAATAGGATTCATAGTGCATACGTAGCTATGTAGCTGAGGTCTTTTAAGAAGTAGTGCAATGGGAAATTGGGTGAATAGTTTCCTAGGTGCTTCCAGATGAGCACTGGCCACCTGTAAAGCTGTTGTATTCGTCTCCACTGTCAGCCTGTCCACAGTCAAGCAGAGCTTTAAAAAGTCGCTTCTTGTCTCACATTTACCAAAGCATCAAGCCATGAGGACATCTGTAGGCATACCTGTGTCCTAGAGAACATAATAAGCCCTGAGCACTCCCATGGCAAATATAGGACTGTAACATGTGGACTCATGCACTACTGACATGTTGAGCTGCAGCACCAAGCAGGTACTGCTGTCAGCACAGCTGCTGGTGCTGCATTTCTGACCCT